AAATGCATGATTGGGGTTTAAGAAATGTTTTTATTTAAAGGTGAATTCATCATAGTGTCCTACCAAAAACTATCGGGATACCTATCCGCTTTTTTTCTTTTGGTAGCAAACTGATCAAATAGATACAGTTTCTAGGTATGGAATACAGTATAAATAAATGTATGCTATAGCATGAGTTTTCATATACTCTTTCAAATCACATAATTTTATGATTTGCTATAGATCATATTAACTACTGATCTTTTTTTACCAGTGGCTCTCAGCCCTGACTGCACAGTAGAATCACCTGGAGGTGTTTCCCCCTCTAGAGATGAGCATTCAGCTGATCTGGAATGGGGCCTGGACATGGTGTTTCCGAAGCCCCTGGGTCCCCTTGGTGGGGAGCTCTAGTGATGTAGTGCCTAAGGATTTAACTGTCAGCAAGAAGGCTGGCAGTTTAAACCCAACAGCCACTCCACCGAAGGAAGACTGAGCAATCTACTTCCATAAAGATTTACCACCTCAGAAACCCAAAGGGGGTCACTGTGAGTCGGAATTGACTCAATGGCAGTGAATTTGGTCTTTTGGGTTTGGGTACCCCAGGTGACTAATGTGCAGCTTGGGTTAAGAACCACTGCATTGGACTACTAGTCATTTCACTGAATTCTTCATATTCTCTTGAATGGCACCTTTTCTTTCCTCACCTGTTTCTATGCGCCTTCCCCAGGCTCAGTTCTGTGGCCCTCCACTCTCTCCATGCTCATACTTAAGGACCATCCATTCTTTTGGCTTCAAACAATTTACACATCTGGCTTCTAAATCTTTTTCTTCAATCTCATCTTCTCTTCCAGCCTCCAGTTGTGTATCCCCTTCTGACTTGCCGGTATTGGCATTTTCATGTCCCATTTTCACCTTAGACTTGATTTGGTCAAAATGAACTCATTTCCACATTGACCACCTGGAAGATGGAGTTCCTTTCTCCCAGCTTCCCATCTCTGTCTGTGCCACCATCACTGTCCTACTCACCCAGGCCACACCTTAAAATCTGTGACTGAACCTCTTCCTCATCCCTCTCTGGATGTTCAAAAGGAGCTGTTGATTTTTCTTTGAAAATAAACTTCTTAAATGTCCCTTCCTTCCAGGACTCTGGTCTGCAATTTAATAGGTAATACCTAAATTATGACAAAGTTCTCTTCCTTGGTTTCTATGACCACAGCTATACTTCTATGTCTTCCTATCAAACTAGTCTTCTTTGAATACCTGCTCAAGAGTTTTCACTGCTTAGTATAGTGAGTCTAAACTCCACATGTCCTTTTCCATCATGATGATTATAACAACAACATTTATTGAATATCCACTGTATTGTGTACTGTTACCTCCGTTAACCCTCATAGGTACTGTGACAGAAACTATTATCATCTTTACATATGAGGAAACTGAGTCTCAAAGAGGTGAATTTTCCTAGTGCCTCACAGCTGCAAAGTGAAAGATTTGGGATTGGACCCAGGTCTGTCTGACTCCATTATCTGAATGTTTCACTAGTCTGTCTTACTGTCTGTCTCTGTGGGCCTTTTCTTTGTACTTCAAGCTTTATCAGTATTCCTGTTCTGAGTTCCTGAAAAAGTTATAATCTATAGCTCATGGTTTATTTTATTAATAATATTATCCTTAGTAAAGTAGTTGTCTTCTATGGAGTAACTCCTGTATGTACAGTGCTGTTTGTATTACCAGTGTACAATTTACTCTTCCATCAAACCCTATGAAATAGGCATTATCATCCCCATTTTATAGATGAGTAAACATCCATTGAGGTGAAATAACCTGCAGCCTCCTTAAGGTCATCCAGGCCATCAAAAGCAAGTCTGGTGGATTCTAGAGTTCATGGGTGCTCTTAACTATTACAACCATAAGAGAAGTCATGACTCCTATTTAATTCCTCATTGGTCTTCTTCAATAGCTGCTTCTGTTTCACGTGCATCTGTCACATCCACATGTGACTGTGCCCGGCTCATTCACATAGGAGGCACATAGTACATACATATTGAGAAATTTTCTGAAGTAGTCCAAATATTAAAGGGAGGATAGATTGAATAACTGAAAGTAAAGGACATGCACGTACTCCTTTAATGTGCTTCGTGTGCAGAGTGACCTAAAGGAGGGGTCGTCTTCAGTAAGAAACAGCCACTTGAAAAGCATTCTCAGCCTCTCCTACTTAGAGGAAGAAGGTGGCTGGAGAGAGGGCCCACAGAACCACTCTTAATGCAACAGAAGAATATAAAGGCAAGGCTGCCTTCCTTCTCTGTGTTCCTGTTCTTAATTAGAAGCTGTGCAGGGTGCTCAGGTCAGCTACTACTATTAATGTGGTCATTAGCAAAGTTCTGTCATACTTCAAGGATATCAACCACTGTGGCCAAGAGTCACAGAAGCTCATCAAAGACACCACAGGGATCATCTACAAAATTCCACACATGATTGTCCCAGTCCCTGCTTCGCCCTCCCTAGAGTACACGTTTCATTTGCTGATCAGCTCTAATGCTTAGAAAATTCTTACTGTGTTACCTACAGAATCTTCTTAACTCCTCATTCACATGCCACCCCTTTGTATACTTGAAGCCAGAAGGGCTCCTGTTGCCTCCATCAAGCTTTCTCTTTTCTTGAGTTAATAATCCCAGTTCCTTGGGGGCTTATTGAGCTATTTGTTTCTGCCCTCCCCCATGTACTCACTTATTTTTGCTAATAGTTTTTGGTATAAAAAATCATATCTTTTGCTTCCAAGCCTGATTTTTTAAAATGTAGAACACTTAAAATTTACTACTCTTCCCAATGTTTAAACTCCTTTCATTTAATAGATTCCAGTTGAATATATGATACTACCTTCTTAACAAAAGAGTCAAGCATGATATGTAGCAAGAACACTGAACTGATAATCTGGAAACCCAAGCTCATCCCCCACTGTGTCTCTCACTCACTAAGTGACCTCGGATGGGCTATTTAACTTTGCAGACCCTGGTTCCCTTATCTTGAAAATGGGCATGATAGCTGCCTATTTCACAAGGTTCGTGAGGGTCAAATGAGCTACTGCAGGAGAAAGTACTTTCTAAACCATCAGGGACTCTGCCAATTGAGTTATTAGTAACTGAGGCAGAAATAATTGTTCCTCTGTGAAACCTCACTTTTTAAGGACTGCTAACACTACACTCCCAGAAGACACAGGGACTTCATGTCTATTTCCCCTGCTATACTGCACACTCTTGAAGGACAGGGCCTGTTTGTACAATCATTGATGTTTCCAACACCCAGTTCAGTGCCTGGCATAGAAAGGGAGCATGTTAAATGTTTATTAGGTGAATTCAAAAATGATGGGCTGAGGATTGGCTATGGCACAGTTTGAAACTGTATTTTAAGTTGATAAAACAGGAATGTCTACAACATGGTAAGGTTAAATGCAAGTCAAGAGAGAGAGGGCAGAAACATTTAAAAATGTGTTATATTCACAGTCCTTGATGTTCAGAGTATGCCAGGATGCAGGGCTACTCAGAGTTGCACTTGGGGACAGGAATTGTAGGAGAGGGCTTATGTATGGCAGGCAGTGTAGGGTTAGCCAGGTCTCCACACTTCTTACTCTGGGCAGTGACACTTAGGATCATGGGCTTCACTTCACAATCCTTTGCTCACCCTTTCTGCAAACATTCAGTATTTATTAAACCTTTATTTTTCAAGGTAAGTTCCATGCCCACCATTCAGGCCCCTTTGAACTGACTCCTGATGATCTTGCAGCTCGATGGCTTGGTTTTCATTGGCCCTTCTTAATAGCCTGTACTAATGAAGAGAGCAGGAATCTCTGGATGGCACAAAGGGTTAAGGGCTCGACTACTAGCCCAAATGTTGGCATTTTGAACCCAGCCAGAGGCACACACATTGGAAGATAGACCTAGCTGTTTCCAAAAGGTCACAGCCTTGGAAACCTTATAGAACAATTCCACTCTGCACAGGTAGGGCTGCCATGAGGCTGCCATGAGTTGGAATTGACTCCACAACAACTAACAAAACTAATAATAATGAAAAAAAAAGAGTGTTGTCTTAACCTTGCCTCTTCTCCCTGCACCTTTTCTGATCTCCCTGAATAAGGAAATTTTTGTCTCCCAGCTTCTGAACTCCTATTACATGGACTTTCGGAAGTAGGCAGATACCACTCACTCACTGCTGACAGCATCAGATACCAAAACATTTAGCACCACACCAGACACATAAAAGTTACTCAGGAAACATCCTAAGTAAAGCCAATTTTTTTTATTTTCATTTCATGCCCAGTTTGTTGGAAACCACCCAAACCTTGATGACAACTTAGACAGTGAAATCTAAGCCATCTAAGTGGTTGTCACAGGAGAAAAACATCAAGCCAGGCTTCTATTCCTAGCAAACTTCATAGCCCTTCCCCTTCCACTAATAAGACTGCAGATCCTCTGACATTTTGTTTTCTGTATATGTTCTCTGCTTTATTATATTTCTAAACAACATTGTTATTTTACTTCATGTTTACTTGATAGCCTTTTTTACAATATGTAAATTAGTATTGAATTCTTTATTATGTTATTTAATTCGTACAGTTTTGCGTTTCATACAGCTCTGGCCCATAAGAAGTATAGAACTGTGTGATGATTAAGTTTTGAATCATGCCCAAGTTTCTTTAACCCTAATTAGCAAAGTTCTTTAATCCTTTGATCCTCTCCTTTCTTGGTTCTCTTCTCTGCCAGTTCTTAACAGTCAATTGCTCTTATTCCTTATACTAAAGCTAGCCCTTGTGATCATTGGGTATGTTCCTTCTCCATGTTACATGACATCTGTAGAGTCTCATCACTTCCACCGTGCTTCTCCACTCCAGCATAAACGCTCTCCTTGAATGAAGAAGATCTCCTGGAAAAGATGGTGCTTGCTGCTTCCTTGCCCTTCCCTATGTTGCAGCTGTAAGAATTCTGACCCAGGCTGGCAGCTAACATGTCTGTGGTTCCCCTTCCCCACAGGTGAAGAAGACCCGAGTGTGGAAGAGGACGAGGAAGTGCTGACTCTGTTGTATGACCCATGTCTGAACTGTTACTTTGATCCCCAGACTGGGAAATACTACGAGTTGGTTTGAACTTTTCCTTCCAGGGCAAAGAACACCCCTTTCAATCAAAGCAGTATAACAGTTCAGGTTCTGTTGGGAGGCATCACAGTTTGTGTGGTAGGCAGATCCATGGAATCAAATGTAACTGAGAGAAATGAATTTATTTTGTAAATAATATTTGATGTTAAGAATAACTACATTCTTTTTTGTAGATGTGTGTGATCTTGAAAATGTGAAGGAATTAATACAAGGACAAGATTTTAAGACTTTGAATTAGTTCTTATTTGTTGGTTCTCATCCTACATATACTTTTTGTTTATTTCACATAATTTTATGTAAATGAATTAAGAGTTATTAATTCAGATTTTTGCAGTGTTAATCTGTAAATGATGGCTTGATACACAGAAAAGAAATGTATTCTTATTTAAAAGATATTTGGGTACCTTTTATTTTATTATATATTTGTATTAAAAATAAAGTCTGATGGTCAAAAGAATATATCTTCAACTGCTGGTTTTTATTCCACCCACTTTCTTTACCAGAATATTCCTGGATGAAATTTACCTTTCCTTAGACTCTTAGAAGAGAACACCTTGTGAACTGGTCAGAATTTATGATCACATATTATTGGCACTGGCCCCGTTCTTTCCATTTCATTATAGTTCATGCAGAGTTTACCAAAGATCAAAACATTGTTAATCACTTAAGCTTCTTACCACTGTGGAGGTTTGGGGTCTTGTCATTTTGTTTTGTTTTGCTTTTATTTTTTACCAATTTTCTTTGAATTCTGATAATATGGTCCAAATCTAGCTCTTTGGATTCAACAAGTCACCCATTTGAACATCTCACATGTCTGACCGCTTCTGTGACTTGGGCCCAGAGAAGTCTGGAAAGTTTCCTTTGGTCTTTAAAGTTAGGTGAGTGTAGCTCTGCTTGCTGCTTCAAGAGAAGAAAAAAAAAATTTTGTGCTTTCTGCATTCAGATAGGCAGCCTTGGATTGTGTGCCAAGTATAATAATATTGAGCTTGAGGAAGTACTTATTATATTAGTTGGCACATTTTGTTATTTAATAAAGATTTTTTCATAAAGAAGAATACCATTGGAAATGAAAAATTATTGGTGTGCAGTTGGATTTAATGGTAGTACTATAATTTCATTTAATGTTGCTTGATAGAAGAATTAAGAGCTCTTTTTATCGAGGTAGCGTAGGATTCCTGTTCCAAGAATCATACATTATTTAGGACCATGTTTGTGTTTAATCCTGTTGTTCACAAAGTGTACCTTTGTTTTGAATTTCCCTCCAAGATCTTCATACTTAAAAAATGAAAATGAATAACTGAGGCTTCACAAAGCATACAGAATGATAAAAGAGTTGAGTGATCTTGGTTATTACCTTGAAGACTGGAGTAAGGCTTGGAATAAAATAGGTAATATATCGCTCCTGGTTTCAATAGTCTCAGTACTATTCACACAAATAGAGTCTGATGGAAATATGAACAACAGACAACCTTGGTTCTAGAGTTGAAAGACACGTTAAACAATGCATCAGGGTCCATAGGAATCGGGGAAGTTCTAGGGATCCCTTGGCAGGAACTAACAATTTCTCATGCATGACAATGGTCACCAAAATAACACAACCACCTTTATCTGTCCTTGGATCTCTGCTCTAGGAGCAAGAAGAAGCTAGATGCCTGACTTGCCTGTCATCCTCAGGACCACATGCAATGGGGGTGAGATAGTCCCTGAAGGAGAAGGGGGTGTTATTAAAATAATGGGGCCAGTGGGAGGGGGGTGATGCCAGTCAGGCAAGAATGACAAATGTCTACCCTGGGAATCTAGAACCATCATGTCTGCACTCACCTCTTCTTCGTATTACCTGTCTTTTCTCTACTTCTCTCCTCCCCCAACCCCTGCATGCCCCTGTGACTTTCTTAGCTGATCAGTCCACTTACCAAAACCCTTAGCTACTCTACCTATACATCCAACCACCCAGGAATGTTAACTCTCAATTTCAATTTCAAACTCAATTTCAAGTTAAAACCAGAGTTGGGATTCCAGTTGACCCACTAGAGTCCAGTGACCACCAAGGCCCCCCTCCTGTGGATGAGGAAGGAGGGCAGTTAAGGAGTTTCTTATGAACTGAGCAGACAACTTTTAAAAGATACCTACTCCAAGGTCTTATTATCTACTTCTCACATTTTATTTGTCTTTTTAAAAGGAGTAGCTTCAATTCTGTTGTGATTTCTCCAGGGGTGTTGAAAATAGAAATATGTGTATTTCACATTGCCAATTTTAAACCAAAATGATATAGCTAGTTTACAGGGAAACTCATTGACCGGGGTATACTTGCTTACTGCTTATCAAGTTTTGCCACCCATTCTTATCTCCTGGGAATTTCATTAAAATAATGTTGCCTAGATTCTTCCCCCAGAGAGTCTGATTTGATAGGGATTTTTAAAACCTTCACTGGCAATTCTGACGTGCAGTCAAAGTTGAGAACAACTATAGATTAGATCAGACATGATGAGAGGGAAGGAGTTTTACCTAATGGCATATGTACAATTGAAGAAGAGTCTATGAGTTTCCATTTCAAGACCTTGATTTCTACTTTTCTAGTCAAGTGTATACCAAACATATATATCTGGAATTGACTATTGCAAGTACTTGCTGAAAAAATAGTTTGATTCAATATGTAAATACATTTTAAGATAGTTAGGTATCAATTTAGAAACTAAGTCCGCTTTTTGTTCCATATGATTCAAAATGCAGATTGCAAGTGACTAGGTAATCAATCTCTAAATTATTACTTAATTACAGATCTCAGTTAATGGGAATTATGGAAAAACAACTGTCAGCTGATAGATGGCATCAGATCAATGATTGTTTTCCTGGCAACTATAAATTCTCTCTCTTTGTCCAATTAATTTTATTTTCTTTTCTATTAAAGGAATATACAGTACTGACATTTTCAAAATACAGAGACACTTTTGCAAAATTTGTCCTATTGTGTGGTTGTTGTTGTTAGGTACCATCAAGTTAGCTCCAACTCAAAGCAACCTTATGTACATCAGAATGAAAACACTGTCCAGTCCTGTGCCAGCCACACAATCCTTGCTACACCTGAACCCATTGTTACAGACACTGTGTCAGTCCTTCCCCTTTTTCATTGACTGTCCACTTTACCAAGCATGATATCCTCCAGGAAGTGGTTCCATCTGACAACATGACCAAAGTAGGTAAGACAAAGTCTGGCCATTCTTGCTTCCAAGGAACATTCTGGCTTCACTTCCTCCAGGACGGTTTCATTCATTCTTCTGGCAGTCCATGGTACTTCAGTATTCTTCACCAGCACCACAATTCAAAAGCATCAACTCTTCTTCAGTCTTCCCTATTCATTGTCCAGCTCTCACATGCATATGAGGCAATTGAAAATACCATGACTTGGATCAGGCACCCCTTAGTCTTCAAGGAGACATCTCTGCTATTCAGCACTTTAAAGAGGTCTTTTGCAGCACATTTGCCCAGTGCAATACGTAATCTGATGTCTTGACTGCTGCTTCCATTGGTGTTGATTGTGAAACCAAGTAATATGAAATCTTTATAAACTTCAATCTTTTCTCCATTTATTATGATGTTGCTTATTGGTCTAGTTGTGAGGATTTTCATTTGTTGAGATGTAATCCACACTGCAGACTGTATTCTTTAATCTTTACTAGTAAGTGCTTCAAGTCATCTTCACTTTCAGCAATCAAAGTTTTGCCATCTGCATATTGCAGGTTGTTGATGAGTCTTCCTCCAATCCTGATGTCATGCTTTGCTTCATATAGTCCAACTTCTCAGATTATTTGCTCGGCATACAGATTGAATAAGTATGGTGAAAAGACATAACCCTGACACACTCCCTTCCTGATTTTAAACCATGCAGTATCCCTTTATTCTCTTTGAGCGACAGCCTCCTGGTCTATATATAGGTTCCTCCTGAACACAATTAAGTGTTCTGGAATTTCCATTCATCTCAATGTTCTCCATAATTTGTTATGATCCACACAATCAAATGCTTTTGCATAGTCAATAAAATACAAGTAAACATCTTTCTGGTGTTCTTTGCTTTGAGCCAAGATCCATCTGACATCAACAATATCCCTCATTCCACACCCTCTTCTGAATCCAGCTTGCATTTCTGGAAGTTCTCTGTCAATATACTGCTGTTCTATTTTATGTCTTTATTTTAGATTAGCTTCCACTAAATCAGTCATTCCAACATATCTTGATTATTTTTGAAGTACAAACTGTGTTTAATAACCAAGAGTCATGTAGACACAGAACGTACAACCTGAAGGACAATTAATTAAAATGACTAATTTTAAAGTTGCTCTTTGGCTTAAATTAAGGATCTAGCTGCTGAAAGTTTCTAGATGGTTCTTTTTAAAAAAAAAAAAACTAGAATGCTAACAAGTATGAAATCAAAACTAGGCTTATTCTAGGTTGTATCCTATTACTCTCATTATTCAATTAAAATGGTCAGAATTAGGAGCCCTGACTCCCACTGAAACTCAGAGAAATACTCCCTACTTTGGCTGGTTTGTTAGTTGGTTTTTGATTTGTGTGCGTGCATGAGTGGGAGGAATTTACTTGTGCAGGAGAGGTGTTCCTTAGATGTTTCACAGACATTCTAACTGCACTGTAACAAGATTGTCCTTCAGACTCACTTTTCTTCCAAAACAACATATACTGAAACCTGAACATTAGGAGGCTTTGGTTATGTAAGATGAAAATTTTCTTTCTCCTATTTTGAATTCTATAAACTTAAAAACTAAGTAATACAGTTTGTGCATAATAAATGATAAATCTAAATTAAAAGTCATTCATCATGAATAATGGAACCTTACATCTTAATGAATATGTTGGTTCTGGTTTGCCAGGCTTTAATATCATTTAGAACCACATTAAGTCAAAAATCATTTGACTTATAAAATTAAATGACCAATAAACATAGGCTATAGATAACACTACTTTTTACTGCTGACATA